CTGTAGGGTGTGTGTGCTCACCAGAGAGACAGAGACAGAGAGACAGAAAGTGAGAAATTACCCCCCAGGGGGGATGGCCACACCACAATCCCTTCTCCTCCATTCTCCTCTCAGGATCTTGGGCACGCACGCACATGTGCCCAGCGTGAGTTTAAGCCACCAGATCCGGGACTCGAACTGCAGTCGACTACATGGGAGTCTAGTGACAGCCATTACGCTAACTGCCAGTCCCAAGAATAGTGACTCTTTAAGCTGTTATAATTCACTTTATTTTTTAAAGAATTTATTTACTTAATTTTCTTAATTACTATTATTATTTTTGAATTTTCTCTAAGTCACATGTGCTCACCAGAGAGAGACAGAGAGAGGTGGGGAAAGTGAGAAAGCAAGCTACCAGGTCTGGGACTCAAAGCGCAGTGGGCCTTGTGAGAGTCTAGCACCTTGACCACTGTGCCACTTGGCCCCTGTAATTCACTTTTAAAAATTATATGGAAAAAAGTTCAGGGATAGTCTATATTTTAAACATTCACAGAATTATATAAAGTCAGGCAGACAGCTTAATCTGTACTAGACAAGTTACAGTAAAAAGAAACCAAGACCTGTGATCCCTGATGAGCTCACAGTCCATGTAAAATAGATGTATTTAGATAAAAAAGCTGTGAAGTACTGGTGGTGGTGTGAGGCTGGCAGGATAGGGACTGGGAAACAGCTTAAGGAAGGGCATGGTAAACTTTACCTGTAGGGATCAGTATTGTAACCCTAAAGCAGAGTCTTCAAGGATGACTTTCCTAGGTAATCAGAGAATAGAGAAGGAAATCTCTATGGTTTTGTTTGTTAGCTAATGAGGAGCCAGAGTGTTCTTTGGGGATGTGGTGAGTACAGATTAAAAGGAGATCTGGGGAAAGAAAAGGGAAAGACATCGAGAATGTTAGTAGATGTGGTAAGGAGGTGTGTAGCTTGGATCTGGAGGGAGTGGATGAAAGTCGAACAGGTGTAGCAATAGCACTCTTGCGACTTGGTGAAGTCAGAGAGTGAGTGGGGGTGGAGACGGGCGTGCAAATGGAAAAGTGTTCTCAGAGAGGTAGATAAGTGAGAAGGGCTGGGAAGAGACTCAGGGTGTGACCTTGAGTGTATGTTGTTAAAAGGGCACCGCCTTTGATATCTTTCCTCCACTGGCCTATCTTTTCTGGACCATATCATCCACAGTGTCTCTCATATACATTAAGATCTCACACCCGCATGCCACACCAGTTTATCCAGCAGCTACAGTTCTCCACCTTAACCACATTTGTTACTCAAGGAACCACATATATGAAGTCTCTCAAAATCAGCCTTCCCATGCTGAATCCATTTTTTTTTCTTTTTTTTTTTTTTTTGGAGAGATTTTTGCTATAGGATGCGTGCGCTCGCCAGACAGACAGAGAAAGACATAGAGACAGAAAGCGAGAAATCACCCCCCAGGGGGGATGGTCATGCCGCAATCCCTTCTCCTCCATTCTCCTCTCGGGATCTTGGGCATGCACGCACACGCGCCCGGCGTGAGTTTTAAGCCACCGGGTCCGGGATGCGAACCGCGATCAACTACGTGGGAGTCCAGCGACATAGCCATTACGCTGACTGCTGGGTCCCTCTTTTTTTTTTTTTTAAGAGATATTATTGCTAGAGGGTGCATGTGCTCGCCCGAGGGACAGAGAGAGAGAAAAAGTGAGAAATCACCCCCCACCCAGGGTGTTATGGCCACACCAAAGTCCCTTCTCCTCCATTCTCCTCTCCGGACTTTGGGCATACATGCACCAGTCTGGTCCCCAAGGAGAATCAGAACCGCCATCTTTACAGTTCAAGTACTCCCATTTGAAATGATCAGTAGCTTCCTGGCAGTGTGGACTGCTCCTTGTTCAGTCCTCAGAAGTTCAACCCAAACTGTACTGTCACCAAGGGAATATGATGGGTTGCACTTCTGTCTTCTGAAAAAATGAGATTTAGGGGGGCCAGCAGGTAGCGTAGTAGTTAGGGGCACTGGACTCCCACACGGACTCCCAACTGTGGTTCAAATTGCGAACCTGGTGGCTTGCGTTCTCACTTTTCCTCTCTCTCACCCTGTCCCTCTCCGGTCAAATTAAAAATTAATAAATAAAGTTAAATAAAATAATTCTTTTTAAAAAATAGCATTTGGGTTAAAGATGGAGTAGGTTAAAAATTTGTAACATAAACAAAATAGGGTAAAACAGAGTAAGAGGGGGAGAGGAGAGACAAGGACATCTGCAGTTTAGGAAATATACTGTTATTTAAAATTTTATGAGAGGGGTCAGCAGGTGGCGTGGTGGTTAAGGGCGCTGGACTCCCACATGGCTGACCATGGTTCAAGTCTTGGACCTGGCGGCTTGCTTTCTCACTTTCTCTCTCTCTCTGTCTCTGTCTCTCTCTCTCTCTCTCACTCTGTCCCTCTCTGGTTAAATAAATAAATAAACAAACAAATAAATAAAGCTAAATAAAATAATTCTTTAAAAATATTTTTATGAGAGTAAAATTCAGTCTTTTAGACAATATATATACTTTCAACTTGAGTCAAGATGGTACACTGGAAGATGAACACAATGGATAACAAGAAATATGTTTTCTTTATTGGGAAAAAAAAACTCACAGGGATTATAATACAGGAGCTATCAAAACATTTAAAAATCTAGAGATACAGGGTGTCCTAATTCAAAAGATTCTTGAGGTTGGATTTTCTTGCTTCTGTTAGAGCATCTTTTCTTGTGTGCTGGCCGACCGGGGCTCTTGGTAGCCTTCTCAGTGCGATCTCTCCTCAGTAGTGAGGACTGAACTTGCTGCCTCACCCAGCGGAAGACCCAGCTCAAGTTGAGACAGGACAGGGCTTGTGTATCAGGAGGGGTGTCCTCCTCTTCTGGCTGCCCCGACAAGACTGAGAAGGTATTTACAGTGCTTATCCTCTGGCTGCTTGTTGCCTGGTTTATCAGCTGCCAAGAAAATGAAGGATGTGTTAGATACTTGTAGCCTCCACAATGACATATATATATATATATATATATATATATGTGTGTGTGTGTGTGTGTGTGTGTGTGTGTGTGTGTATACCATGCACATGTATGTGTATTTGTAATTTTCTTTTGAGAGTTTTTTTTGCTATAGGGCGCGTGCGCTCGCCAGACAGACAGACAGAGACATAGAGACAGAAAGTGAGAAATCACCCCCCAGGGGGGATGGTCACACTGCAATCCCTTCTCCTCCATTCTCCTCTCGGGATCTTGGGCACGCACGCACACGCGCCTGGCGTGAGTTTTAAGCCACCGGGTCTGGGACGCGAACCGCAGTTGACTACATGGGAGTCCAGTGACATAGCCATTACGCTAACTGCTGGTTCCCTGTATTTTTTCTTTTTGATGTCAGAGGGTACGTATGTGCATATGAGAGGGAGAGAGAGAGTACCCCTCAGTGGACCTGGTCACACCATAATCCTTTGTCCTCCAGTTCTCCATCCCATCAGGACCTTGGACGTATACATGTGCCTGGCATTTTTTTAAGCCTATGGGGTTGAACCTTGGTCAACTCTATGGGATCCAGCTTCATAAGCACAGTGCTTTGCTGTTGGGCCAGCCCTAGATTATTTAGTCATTTATGGATCTCAAATTTTACTAAAAAAAGTAGCCTAGCTGTAAATGTAAAGTTTCATTACTCATGGATACTGTAACTTTTTTTTTACTATAATTGATAGCTTCCCCCCACCCCCAGGCATGCTCGTTGCTGTTTTCCCCACAACTTCACTTTGACTCCTTTCCTTACTGATATCCTTCCCCCACTACTAGTCTGTCAGATACCAGGGGACTACCCTTGTGGCCCCTGTACCAGGCCTCTCCCTTGCTGCTCTGTGCATTATCTTTGTGCTTACCTCTGCAAATTCATGCCCCTTAAGCCTTGAAGGAATCTGTGGGGACTTCGTGATGTCTTCATTATCTGCTGGTTCAAACTTGGGCGGGTCTTGATAAATGTGTTCCTGATGACTGACCTGAGCTGTATCTTGTGGGGAGCTGCCAGGTGGCTGATGATCTTCCTCCTCAGTAGACTGAGGGAACACAGACTCATCATCTTTATCATCTTTCTGATTTTCTAGAAATGTCTCAAGTTTTTGCACAAGATCATCCAGTTTGCTGACAGTCAGTTCTGTCTTCTCTTCTGGGTACTTATCTATCCAATGGCTGCTTCCATTTAGATCCCAGTTATCTATTGAGTTTGCATTGTTAGAGTCCACATCAACATCCCAGGCCAGGGCGATGCTTAGTTTGCAGAACTGCTCTGGGTTATCTGGAATCTGATCTCGTCTTCCAATGGGTCTCCGTATATTTTCAGTTCGCCATGTACCTTGGATAGGAGGGAGGAAGTGGATGGAAGAACTGTTGGAAGATATGTCTTCACAGGAGGTTTTGTCCTCATCACAATAAATGTCCTCACAAGGAAAATAACCCACAGACAGGCTCAGGTTGGATCCGGATTTAGAACTACAGTCATCCATGTCGATGTCATCACTGATAGAGGATGTGTGGGCCATGCCATTCAAGGGTCAAAATCACAGAACTCCCCGATGATTCAGAACACTTAAAAAAAAAAAAAAAAAAAAAGGTGATTTTGGAGAGAAAAAATTAAGAGTCATGGTACTTAAGTAATAATATCTGTTCCTTTTTCTGTTCTGAACTATTCCATTTGTATGGAAGTTCATCCTGTTTTGCAGTCTGCCATGAAGGGCAGAAAAAGCAGTACTCTCCCTTTATAACCTTATTTCATTGTGTAATGACCCTGTCTACTGAGCATCTCCACCAGACCCTGCTCAGCATTTTTCTTATTGAAGTGGAAAGCACTTGTATCATAAAAGAAAAAGTTGATCATTGTATAGATTTGAAAAATATAGACAAATGTAAAGATTAACAAAGTAGGGACCAGCAGGTATAATGGTTATGTTGCTGGACTCCCACATAGTTGACTGTGGTTTGAGTCCCGGACCTGGTGGTTTAAAACTCAAGCTGGACGCATGTGCGTGCATGCCCGAAATCCTGAGAGGAGAACTGGGGAGAAGGTATTGCAGCATGGCCATCCCCCAGGTGGTGGTGGTGGTAATTTCTCACTTTCTATCTCTCTGTCTCTTTGGTGAGCACACAACAAAAGCAAAAATCTCTCAAAAAGAAAAAAAAAAAGGACAAAGGAATTGAATTTTAAAAAGTATGTGTACGATTCCACCATCCAGTGATAATGATAAGCATCATTAAAACAGCTCAGTGGATTTTCGTGTCATCTTTTCTTTTTCTTTGTATATACATGTGTGCACACATGTATATTGTACATAAATATGTGGATGTCACATCAAATTTGAAACATTACATTTTATGTCACATCCTACGGTAAATTTATGTATGATTTTTCTGTAATTTTTAACTACTTTCTTATTAATACCATTAGGTAATCACTCACTAATGTCCACTAGGTAATTAATGATCTTAGATGATTAAGACCACAAATAATGGTCTTGTTACTAACCATTAGAGGTAAATCTGTAGTAAACCCCCTTTTCATAAATACTGTACTGTGTCTCTTACTATATTCCTATACATGAATTTATAGACCAAAGATCACAAGTATATTAAAGTCTTATAGCAGTTGATATCAAATTACTTTCCAGAAAGGTCCTAGCCACTCAGATGTCCATCCTCCCACCATCTGATGGCACTTTTTAGTCCAGCTTTTTCCCACGATGCCCCAGTAACTAAGTGGGAATGGGAGAATACATACACACATACGTGCCCACATGTGCGCACACATGCACACTGTCCTGTCCTGCTCTAGTCAGTGCCCACATGAAAGAGGTGCTGCCAGATTCCTGAGGCATAAATGGGATGTTAGAAATCCTTCCGATCCCAAGTCTCAGTGGCTAAAAGTCCAACTGTCAGAGAAGTCTGTGTTCTGGGACTGTTGGTTACCATGACAACAAAAGGAACCCGGTTATAGCCAGAAATGTACAAAGAGAAAAAAGGATACAAAACCACAGGACCCATCCCCTTGCTTCTAAAATATGCCATCCTGGGCTGGAGAGGACCCTTGACTATGATGGTGATTGTTGCCCTCCTGTCCTGCGGATATCCAAAATGGTCCCTGTCCTTCAAGAATTGAGCACTTACTTGGTGAGATGGATGTACAAGCCAAAGGACTGGGTGGTAAGTGCTACAAAAGAACTTAAAGATGATGTCCTGGGGGAATGAAAAGAGCACACCGTGTGGGTGGGGAATACCAGGAAAGGCCACCTGGGAGACATTTCTTCTGATCCAGGTGTTTATGGAGGAGTGGAAATTACTAAGGTAGGAAAGAGGTGTAGGGGTGGGAGAGAGGGCGCTCCAGGAGCAGCAAGCCCAGTGGGAAATAGTCGGGTGTGGAAGATGAGCACGGTGAGATAGATGAGGCTCAGAGATATTGTGGAGGCCTCTAGCCCTATTAGGGAGCATGGATTTTATCCTCTGAGCCTGTAACTGGATGATGGTGTTTATCAGGCATTCTTCCAGGCAGTTCAGAATTTATTGAAATATTTGACATGATTTCAGACCAAACAAAACCTTGAGGTGGCTTAACAGCATGGTTGGAATTGGTCAGCCTCAATGAGAATGGAGTGAGTAGATTTGAAGGACGGGAGCCCGACTGCATCAGCCTAAGGAATGAATGGGGAGGGAATGGACGCAGCAAAGATAGCCTGTACCTGAGGACTGTCTCGGGGGAAAGCTGGCCAAGGCACTCTGAACGACAGTTTCATTAGAAGCAGATGAGTCAGTGTTCTAGTGTCAGAATTTGACGAACTTTGTTAGAATCAGGTGGCAAAATTCCGTCCAAAGCATTTAGAAACAGCACTGATGCTAATCTTTATCCAAGGACAATGTTTTTGTCCCCATTATTGTTGAGTTATAATTAAGAAAATTGTATATAAGATTTATGATGTGATCATTTGATAAGTGTATATGTATTGCAAAATGATTAGTATAATCAAGTTACAATTAACACACCCATCATCTCACATAGTTGCTATCTGTGTGTGTGTGCACACGTGTGTACATGCAGACATATATGCATGTGGTAAGAACAAGCAACAGTATATTATTATTAACTGTAGTTATTATGGTGTTCATTAGATTCCCAGAATCTTATGGGAATCTATCTATCCTTATGGTCCAAGGGTATTATTTTGAAAGGTTTACATAATTGGGCTGATTCTTATTGTCAGTTTATGTAAGAGTGGGAATGTCTGTATAATACTTAGAGACAGTATACCATTTTATCAATGAAAAATTATTTGTGGCAGCCATTATGCTAAATAGCAGCCATTACATTCATCAGAGATACATGTAGTTGACTTAGTTTTGTGTGTATGTGAATTTTGATTATTAAGTACTCCTGGATATAAGTTAAAAAATAATTACTGGGACCAGCAGATGGCATAATGGTTACATTGCTGACTGTGGTTCGAGTCCCAGATCCAGCTACTGAAGACTCACACCAGGTACATATGCATGTGTGCCCAAAATTCCCAGAGGAGAAGGGATTGCAGCATGGCCACCCCCGCCATGGGATGATTTCTCACTTTCTCTCTCTCAACAAAACAAAACAAAACAAAACCCTTGTATAAAAATTACCTATGTTGGGGTCAACAGGTGGTGTAGTGGTTGTGGCACTGGACTCACACATGACTGATCCTGGTTTGAATCCTGGACCCAGTAGCTTGTAATTCATGCCAGGCATGTGTGTATACATACCCAAATACTGAAGAACACTGGAGGATAAGGGATTGCAGTGTGGCCATCCCCCCTGGGGGGTGATTTCAGTTGCCCGCTGTGTGTCTCTGGCCAGTGCACATGTCCTATAACTAAACAAAATAAAACAAAAACTAAAAATCTCACAAAAGAAATGACCAATGTTGTAGGTATTAACTACATTTTAGATTTGATTGAATTTCCCTAGGTCCTATGGGTGGGTTATTTTTTTATTTAAAAAAAATTTTTTTTGAGAGATTTTTGCCATAGGGTGCGTGTGCTCGCCAGACAGAGAGAGACAGAGAGACAGCAAGTGAGAAATCACCCCCCCAGGGGGGATGGCCACTCCCCAATCCCTTCTCCTCCATTCTCCTCTTAGGATCTTGGGCACGCACGCACATGCGCCTGGCATGAGTTTTAAGCCACCGGGTCCGGGACGTGGTCCGCAGTCGACTACATGGGAATCCAGTGACATAGCCAGTATGCTAACTGCTGGTCCCTGGGTGGGTTACTATATGATGGAGCCAGTTGCCTTTTTTTTTTTTTTTTAAGAGATTTTTAGTATAGGGCATGTGCACTCACCAGAGAGAAAGAAAGCAAGAAATTACCCCTAGGGGTTGGCCATGCCGCAGCCCATTCTTTTCTAGTCTCCTCTCAAGATTTTGGGCATGCATGCACACGTGCTTGGTGTGGGTTTTATGCTGCTGGGTCCAGGACTGCAACTGTGATTGCTATGTGGAAGTCCAGAGATGTAACCATTGTGCCATCTGCTGGTCCCTCCAGTTGCTTCTTTCTTTCATAAGTGAGATCCAAATGCAAATTATTCATAGTTGTCAAACATGTATGTGGCCTTTCTTATTTGTTTGTTTTTTTTCTGCTGTTAAGGCTGATACATGCCTACAAAGTCTGATAGTGCGTCATGCAACACCTAATGCAGGCAGCCAATAGTCTTCTTCTAGCTCTTTGTTGGAATATGTTATATATTTTTCAAATTTTTTGAAGAATTGTTTTATTTAACTTTGTTTATTTACTTATTCTTAATTTGACCAGAGACAGAGTAAGAGCAAGCGTAAGAGCAAAAATGAGAGAGAAGGAAAGTGAGAAAGCAAGCCTCCAGGTCTGGGACTCAAACTGTGGTCCGCTTTGTGGGATTTCAGTGCCTTTTACCATGCCACCTGCTGTCCTCTGTGTTTTTCAACTTTTTAATTAATTCAACAGTTGTGTCTACCAGTTTAGGCCCTATCATATTTTAGGCCCTGCCGGGGTCCAGCCTCGGTGGGGGTGGGTTGACTCATTGGAGGTGGCGCAGGAAAGGAAGGCTAAGGCCTCGGTGCCTTTTCATGTGCGTCCTGAGTCGGACACTCCTCAGAGATCGCTCTCTGTAGAGTGACAACTGCTGGGAATTATTGTGTCTTTTTATTGAAAATGTGATACATGCAAATAAGTGGGTGAGGGGCTATGTGTTTTAATGATCAGTTCATAAAATTTTAACAATAGGGAACATAGATTCCATTCAGGGTTGGATTAAGGGCAGGTCTATTACAATTCAGCAGTTGCTTGTTTGATGTAGGCAGGTCTTTGAAAATTTTATGGAATGCCATTTTGGGAAATAGCCTCCAGCAAGCAGAGTTAATTATCAGCCAGTGCTCGGGGGCAACCATCTTGTGATTAATGAATATGACACTAAAAAGAAAATCTCAAGTATAGGTATTAGTTCTTATAAATCTCAATAAACAATGATGCTTATATAATTTTATAGGGACCTAAAACTTAATGTAAGGAATCCTAACATATTTATCTATTTCACTTGGTGAGGGCAGGGTGTCCTGGGCCAGTTTTGGCCTAATCCTATTTTATATAAAGAAAAGATTATTTTTAAGCTTATGTTAAATGTATCTTGAAGGGCCTTCCAGAGGTCAAGAAGATTATTTCTGCCTAAATTGAACTTCAGCACACCCTCTATTGTGACTGCAGGGATGAAACATTGTAATTAACAGTAGGTGACCAGGGCAAAGGGGAGTGGTCAGGGGACTTTTGGGAAATCTTATCACATACTCAAGAGAGCTATGTAATTCTTTTATAGTAGTATATCAGGGAGTCAGAGGGGGGGTCTCTTCCCAGCAAGGCTACCGCAGTCTCTGGAGCATACAACAAGCAGCCTTGCCAACATGCTGAGTCAACCCAAGCTTTGCTCATAGGTCGGGCGGGGTGTATAGCAGCAGCCTTGCCAATGTGCTGAGCTGACCAAGGCTGTGCTCAAAGGTCAAAGGCTCAAAACAGATCCTGGGGCCCCACCGGGTCGGACTCCTCCAAGTCCCTGCAGTCAGTCACTTCTAGCAGCAACAAATCGTTTGTTTATTTAATTGCTAGAGGGCGTATGTGCGCTCACCGTGAGACAGAGAAACACAGAGATGGGATACAAGCACTCTCAGTGGGATGTGATCATACCACAGTCCCTTCTTCATTTCTTCATCCAGTCAGGATCTGGGACACTCACACTCGCCCAGCATATTTTTCAGGCTACCAGGCTGGGATTTGAAGCAATTTGCTATGTCAGATCTGGCTCCCTCAACCTCTAGGCTGTGGGGCTGGCCTGTAAATCCATTTTAACCTGGTTTTGCTTCATCTATAAAATAGATATGATAATATCTTCCTTGAAAAGGTTTTGTAATGATTAGAAGTTATATTATATATATGGGATGTGTGGTAAATGGTTTATTTTCATTCCATAACTGAGGAAACAAACTCCTCTCTCTTTCATTGGCAGTACACCCTGGGAAAATATTTTCATTTCACTCAGAAATTTCAGGTGTAGTCCCATTTTCTTTTCTTTTCTTTTCTTTTCTTTTCTTTTCTTTTCTTTTCTTTCTTTCTTTCTTTCTTTCTTTCTTTCTTTCTTTCTTATTTATTTATTCATTTTTTACATTTTTTCCCATATTTTATTGATTCACAGAATACCTTAAACTAAAACTATGGACAAAGCTAGAATCTAGTTACAAATGCACTGTAATTTTCTTCTGAAACATTTTAAATTAATTACTTAATTTATATTTAGTCCCTGAGCATTGTCACAGAACACAAAATGTGATTTCCCATCCAAAATGTACTACATAGTGGCTTAATCATACATGTTATCATCATTAATTTTCGATTTCTAGTTTCATATATATACATACATTACCCTTATTTTTCACCCTCTACCATTTCCCACCCCCCTCCCACACTATCTTAGGTGTCTACAGTTGTTTTCCATTCCTTTTTTCCCCATTTTATTGATTCACAAAATTTCTTGAGTAATCTAACTACTTTGAATAGCAAGTTTAG